AGTTTTCTTTAGGTAGGTTAGGTTTTGTTTTGGTGGGGGTTTGATAGTAGTTTGAACCTTTATCGTTTTTTATAAGTTACAATGGCGTTGTTGATGTTAGGTGGGAGCAGAGGGTGAAATAGGTTAGGATTTTGATTGAGTTTGGGGTTAATTCTAGGTTAAGATTATGTTTTAGATAGGTTTCTAGACGGGATTATCATTGGGGTTTGTGAGTTCTTCGCCAGGACCATGGGAGACGGTAGAGGCGACGGAGGCCAGGTTTCGTCGAGGGTTAAGCATAATACATTTTTTATGTTTATTTATTTAAAAAAGTGCAGTGAATGAAAACTGAGATCTGAAAAGCAAACAATGAAAAAACGGTAGTTAAAAAATTGGTTTTACTAAAATGCACCTGGTAGGGAAATAAAAGGGATATGGGTTTTGCTAACGTGCAAAAAAAATTGGGGTTAACCTGGTATATTTAATAAGTGGGGTTTTTTAAATTGTTTGACTTGGTATGTTTAGTCAAAGTTGGTAGCTTTAGTAGTGCCCAATGTAATAATATTAAAAGTTCATTACTTTGAAAGTTGGACATTATATATACTGATGATAGAAGTCCTATTTTTATTTGTGGTTGTCATTTAAATAATAAGGCAAGTTCAACGAAAAACAATCTAATTATAATGTCGTATAAGATCCTCCATTCTATAGTAAATTTTAAATCTAAATATTTCATTTTATTTTTATTTATACGCCGCCATAAAATATCTTATACTTTTGGCCAAATCATTTTTATTTAGGATCAATTATACTATTAGTCATTATATTTTAAGTTGTATATTATTTTTAACATTATTTTTTCATTTACGTTTAATTAAGACATCGAACTATTAAATTATTAACAACGGACGGTGTACTAATTTTGTGGTAACATAAAAACTAACATGTATTGCAATGAAAGAAAAAAAAACAATAAGTTTTATCCTACCTCATCATCTTTATAAAAAGAATAATTATTTTTTACTCGTTTTTAGCCACCTTCGAAAATCTTCATTCTTCGACATTTATTGCAGCCATTTTAGACACTCATGAACCTCTCTCATTATTCGTATCATTTTATCAGTTTAGATTTTCTTAAAACTTCTTTAAGAATTACAAGAGTAAACAAACAATCATTATTTTAGGGTTTGAAGTTTTCTTTTGAAGGGGTTTATTAAAAAGACTAGACAACAAAAAATGTTCTTTCGAGAATAGGAACAACATAAATATAAATTAATCTCATCGGACGATCATTGGAAGAGGATAGAGTATTAGAATGTCAAACTTTTATATGGATTTCGTTAATTTTAAGTGAGTTTTAAGAAAAACTAATTGGAGTAGAATGTAAAAGAATGAAATACGAACATTTTGGTGCCAATGTTATCGTAAGTATGACTAATGATGACTGATGATTGATTGACAGTGATTGTCAGAGGTGTTGATATATACAGAAAATGAAAAATAAACGAGCATATCATCATGTCATTAACTGTTGTAGCTACGAATAACAAGAAAGATGAGACACCTATGTTGCATGGAATAGGGGCAGGTTGTTAGTAATGAGCTATTAGTATTGATGAGTTGTTATGGTGAGCTGTCAGGGTTGTTAGATCATTCTAGAATTATGATTGTATGTAGGGACTTATAAATAGTATGATGTAGTATTGTTGCAATACAATGAAGTAAATCCAATTCTGCTTTTACTGTGATATTAAGTCTGTTAACATGGTATCAGTCGCTTGTGCCCGGGAATCTGTGGGAGCTTAGTTTTTTTTCTCTAATGGCTACTCATTTTGCTGACTCCACTGGTGGCTCCTCTGAGTCACTTAGTGGTAAGGTATTTACCAATAAAAAGATCAGTATCATCCTTGATGATTTCAACTTCTTACTCTAAAAGCAGCAGGTCCTCTTAGCTATTAGGACTCATAGGCTTGAGAAGCTTCTCAACGGTGCTCTCCAACCTCCACCTGCTACGGTTCTTGGGGATGATGGGCTGGAAGTTGAAAATGAAGATTATGAGGTGTTTATAGCTCAAGACAGTGCCCTGGCATCTTGGTTGCTTTCGACCATCAGCCATTTCTTACTTCCACAGCTTGTTGGAGCTGAGACCGCCGCTGATGTTTGGCAAACTGTGAATTGATTCTTTACCGACAAGTCTACCACCACAATTATGAATCTTCATTACAAGCTTAAAACAATCAAGAAATGTGAACTGGGAATGCGAGCTTATATTTCTCAAGTTTAGGACGTCACTGATGCGTTGGCTGCTTGTGGAAGTCCCATCTCCGAGTTTGAGAAGATTGTTGCTCTCCTTAATGGCCTTCCACCAGAACATCGCCCATTTATTACAATTATCATGGCCAGTCGAGAGCTATTTACACTTGATAGAGTCATTTTTTTCTTGATAGATGTTGAAACTCAACAAATATTTTTGTTGACCGTTGCTGGTATAGCTTTGATAAAACCTTCAGTGGTGTCTCTTCTTCAAGTCACAGAGGTCGTTCGAATGATCAGTCTCCAGCAACCAATATGTGTCACTACAAGGATAATTGTGAATGTGGTTGTGTAAATTCGATTGTTGTACAATCTCCTAGGCCTGCTGGTCGGGGTCGTGGAGCTCTTAGTACTGACAAAGGTACATGGTTTATTGACTCAAGTGCTACTCACCATGTAACTGCTGATGAAACTGTTGTTGCTAATGAAACATATTATGATGGTCATGGTAAGTTAATGATTGGGTATGATAATTTTCTTCAAATTTCAGGAACTGGTTATTCTTCATTACCCACCTACTCTCTTTCTTTGACATTATTTCACGTGCTTCATGTTCCATCTATAACTAAAAATCTTGTATCGGTGTCAAAGCTTGCTAAAGACAATCATATCTTCCTAGAATTTCATGATCGAGATTGTGTGGTACGTGATGAAGATTCTTGTGTTGTTTTGTTGCGAGATAAGGAGGAAAAGTTTACGAATTTCAGTCTAGTGCTCCATTGCTTGAAGACTCTACTCCAAAAGTGTTTATTTCAAAAGGAGTTGGTGTTGATTACAATATATGGCATGATCGTCTTGGTCATCCTTCTCATGCTGTTTTGTTAGACTTGAACAATACATGTATCGATGTTAATATACTCAGTTTAAATAAAACTCCTCCTTCTTTATGTGCTGCTTGTCAAATGGGAAAAGGGCATGCTCTACCCTTTCTTAAATCTCTAACAGTTTATGATCGACCATTCCAATTGATTTTTATTGATCTTTGAGGTCATGCACCCATTCCATCCAATGGTTTTAAGTATTACATTGCTTTTGTTAATGCATATTCCAGACATATTTGGCTATATTTATTTCGAGATAAGAGTGAAGCATTGCACTGCTTTCAGTTGATCAATCAACTTGTTCATACACTATTTGGAGCTAACATACTTGTTATTCAGAGTGACTGGGGCAGGGAGTATCGCACATTCACTAATCTTCTTTCTCAAGAGGGTATTCAACATCGGCTTACATATCCTCACACTTCCCAGCAAAATGGTGTTGTTGAAAGGAAAAACTATCATGTCATTGAAATAACACTTACCTTGTTAGCTCACGCTTCATTGTCAATGAAGTTCTGGTCCTATGCTACTATTACTGCTACTCATTTGATCAATAGACTTCTAACTAAATTCCTTCATGGTGTATCTCCATTTGGACGATTGTTCGGGAAGAAGCCTGAATATGCTCACCTAAGAGTATTTGGTTGTCGTTGTTTTTCATACACTCGGCCATCTCACTCTACCAAACTTGCCTTCAGGTCTGAATCATGCATTATTTTGGGCTATAGTCCTCAGCATCGAGGCTATCAATGCTTGGTAAAATATGGTAGGGTGTATATTTCTCGACATGTTAATTTTGATGAGTGTGTGTATCCATATGTGGATGTTGAAATGAGAGGTAATGCATCGCAGAATCTTTCAAGTTTGAGCAGGTCGTTGTTAGTTATTTCAAGTGTTGATCGTCTTAGAAAAGCACCTATTTCATATTCTTTTGTGCATCAATCTCAAAATAGCCCTACTACATCTTCCTCTATGCATCAATCTCAAAATAGCCCTACTACATCTAGTCAAAGTAACACTGCTCCTATAACGGATGCATCATGTCCTATTGAAGATGAGAATATTAACTCTAACATTGTCTTGGCTTCTAATTCTCAGCATATTCAAAATTCTCAGTCGATGATAACATGCAGCAAGGCGAGAATTTTTAAACCAAAGGTGTTTTTCTCTACAGCTGATCATATTAATTCTGCCAATGAACCACTATCAGTTTATCAAGCTTTGCAGTCAGATGAATGGAAGCAAGTTGTATTTGATGAGTAAAATGCATTGGTTCAAAACAACACTTGGATACTTGAACCACTACCTTTTGGTCAACCTGCTGTAGGCTGTAAGTGGATATTTAAACCAAGTGAAATGCGGATGGAACGATAGCTCGACACAAAGCTCGATTAGTAGCTAAAGGTTTTTCCCAAACACCTAGATGCGATTTTGACAATACCTTCAGTCCAGTGGTCAAAACTTTTACAATTAATGTAGTGTTTTCTATTGCTACTGCTCATGGATGGCCTCTGCGACATGTAGATATCAATAACGTATTTTTAAACGTTGATCTTGGTAATGAGGTGTTTATGACTCAACCTCCTGGATTTGAACAACAGGGAGCTAATGGATTTATATTTTCAAAAGTCAGTTGTTGATGCTTCATTATTTGTTCGATGTATGAATGGCAGTCAAGTGATTATTCTTGTTTATGTTGACGGCATGGTCATCACTAGGGATTCACCTATTGTTATTGAAACAGTTGTTCAACAGCTAGGTCAGAAATTCTCGCTTAAAGATCTTGGTTCTTTAAGCTATTTTATGGGGATTGAAGTTATAAGATATAGTAATAAGCTTGTTTTAAAATAACAAAAGTTTATCAATGAGCTTCTTATGAAATCAAACATGACTGGAGCTAAGGCAGTCCCTACTCTAATGATTTTGTCATCAAAGCTTAAGAATGCTGCATGTAGACCTCTTAGTGATGGTCAACAGTTTCAGAGTATTGTTGGTGGCTTAATGTACCTCACTCACACCAGGCCAGACATTGCATTTAGTGTACATCGTGTAGCACAGTATATGCATAATCCATGTGAAGAACACTGGATAGCTATCAAACGAATACTTCGGTATTTGGCTGAGACAACTCACTATTTTATTGTATTTCATGCTAACAGTTCTACAAATGACATTGTTGCCTTTGCTGATGCTGATTGGGCAACCAATCCAGATGACCGAAGATCCATATCAGGCCAATATGTATTTCTTGGAGAAAATCTAGTTTCATGGAGCTTAAAGAAACAGAAAACTGTGGCTCATTCAGCAAAATATCGAAGTATTGCTGACACAGTTGCTGAAGTGGTTTGGATTCAATCATTGCTACGAGACTGGGTGAAAAACAATGAGAAGTTCCTGTTATATGGAGTGATAACACTAGTGCAGTGGTGATGAGTGTCATTCTTGTATTTCATGCTAAATCAAAGTATGTAGAACTAGATATGTGCTTTGTGCGAGAGAATGTAGCAAATAAGGAACTAAGTGTAAATTATGTTCCTGCGTGTCATCACTTGCTGATGGGTTGACAAAATCATTATCAAATTCAACATTTGCTTTGTTTCGTGAAAATTTCAAGTTGTTAATGAAGAAGCATCAGAAAAGTTGGGAGAATGTTGCAGCCATGAAAAGAAACAGAAAGATGATTTAGCACAGAGAAGTTGGAAGGATGTTGCAGCTATGAATAACAAGAAAGATGAGACACCTACGTTGCATGGATTAGGGGCAGGTTGTTAGTAATGAGTTGCTAGTATTGATGAGCTGTTATGGTGAGCTGTCATGGTTGTTAGATCATTCTAGAATTATGATTGTATGTAGGGACTTATAAATAGTATGATGTAGTATTGTTGCAATACAGTGAAGTAAATCCCATTCTGTTTTTACTATGATATTAAGTCTGTTAACATTAACTAACGTCGGATCTTGACAAAACTAACTGAGAGGCGCTACTTAAGTTTTGAAAATTTTAGAAACCTAGACTAAAATTCTTAAAATGTTCAATACTTAAAGAGAATTTTTTTAAAAAAAAATAAAGGAGATTTAACTAAAAATATTTAAAGAAATAAAAACTTAATGAGAATTTTTGATTTTTTTTAAAATAAAGGGCAAAATGTTAATTTTCAGAAATAATGGGAAAGGATTTTATTAGAAATTTTTTTTATATTAATTGATTATAAAAATAATCTTATCTAGAATTATTTAGAAAAATGAATTTCAAACGACCTACATAAAAATACATTGTGTTCTGTAAAAAAGGAGTTTAAAGATTTTTTTCTGTAAAATGCGAAATCCATCTACTAGAAGAACTTAGATAAGAAAAGTACATAAAACTCATTTTTTTATAAAACGCAAAGTTTATAAATATTTTTTTTTATAGAACGCCAGTATCCTTATGTGAATCATTTGAATGTCATCTTTCTAAATAATGCTGGATAGGTCATTTTTCTAATAACTTATAAAAAAGGTTATTGATTTGAAAAAACCGGGGGGAGCTTGGTCTCCCCTTTGATTTTACAGCCCTAGTGCCATTAATAACATGTATATTAATATTAACAAGTTTTATCGGCAGACATCGTTCATAGGTGTCGATAATGCTAATTAAATTTAATTGTAATATTCTGCAGGTGGGAGTAGTACGGAAAACAAATTTACACTAGTCATTGTTTGATGATGAGATCCATTTTGATTTTTATGTTGACAGTCAAAACGGGAATTGTATTATTCCGAATAATCACGCAAGCAAGATTGACGAAAACAACCATAATATATCATCTTCTACATTTTATCCAAATATTTTTTCATTTTATATGGCATGATAAAAGATATTGTGCAGATTTTTTTAAATGTTTAAAAAATATGAGATTTTCTTAAATAAAACTTTACTCCTTTATTCAACTGAATTTATAATATAACGATAAAGGATTTATGTTAAAATAAAATTTATTTTTTAAAAAATAAAATTTGATTAATATTAAATATTAAGTCCAATGTTTAATAATCTTTCTCATATTTTCTTATAAAAATAAAAATTTTATTATATTCTTGAAAAACAAATTGTTTTTGGTATCATTAAAACAATTATACATATCTAATAATATAGAGAGAGAGGTGCATCGTTATTAATAACGAATATATACTCTGTAAGTACAATTATTCGTAAATCTTTCAGTAGAACAATATTCTCTTTTATTGTTAAATCACTCAATTATATTTATAAATGATATGTACAAATATAAAGTTAATATCAGATATCACGAGAGACTAAATTATTGGATATTAAAAATATAAAAATTTATAAATATTTAAATTTAAAGAATAAAATCTGATTTATTTAATATTTTAATTTATAGTGCGTAAATTATCATTAAAGAAAATTATGAGGACATGAACCCCTCTTATCGCCTTTTGAGTTTTGTCCATATATATGTATGAAAATGAAATATGATCCAATATATTCAGTATACAGAAATAAAACATAGAACATTATAGTTGAATTATATATATATATTTGTTAAAACATAAAAATTGAATTAATTTTACACTAAAATTAAATATATATGACTTTTCGATGGTGGAACCCTGACCGCCAGTTTGGACTAAATTTAAAAGGTGAATGCAAATATTTTTTTCATTTCCATGACTTGAGGCTTTGCGCCAAACAATTTAAGGGTGTTGGTAGCAGCGTGCAGCGTGCGTCTTACTTGGGTTGCTGAGCCTCCCTTCACAAATTTTGTATATAAATATCCACTCCATTGAAACCAACAAGCACCACTGCCCTTCTCTTGTTATCTTCTTCCTCAAACACCACCTCCTTCTTTGACTCATAATTTACCCAAACCAATGGCCCCAACACTTGTTGATCCTTTCAGTGACTCTTCTGATCTCCGTGAGTTTGTTATCAACCAAGGGAATGGTGTGAAGGGTTTGTCTGAATTGGGTCTCAAAGCTCTCCCTAAGCAATATATCCAACCTTTGGAAGAGAGGACCTGCATGACCAATGTCATACCCCAAGAATCCATTCCCATCATTGATATGTCCAATTGGCAAGACCCCAAGGTGGCCAAATCCATATGCGATGCTGCTTCCAAATGGGGTTTCTTCCAAATTGTTAACCATGACGTCCCCATTCATGTGTTGGACAATGTTAAGGATGCCACTTACAGGTTCTTCAGGCTTCCAGCTGATGTCAAAAATAAGTATTCCAAGGACCATTCTTCTTCCAACAATGTGAGGTTCGGCACAAGTTTCACCCCTCAAGCTGAAAAGGCTCTTGAATGGAAAGATTATCTCAGCTTGTTTTATGTCTCTGAAGAAGAAGCTTCTGCATTATGGCCTTCAGCCTGCAGGTAAACAATTTTACTTATTAAATTTTCTTGAATCGTTAAACTATTCATATAACATACATCTTTTTTTTTAAATATTATATTAATGGACTACTTTGGTAAATTTGTAGGAAAGAAGTGTTAGATTACATGAAGAAGTCTGAAGTTGTCATCAAACAACTATTACAGGTTCTAATGAAGGGTTTAAATATTAATGAGATTGATGAGACACAAGAATCATTATTGATGGGTTCAATGAGGACTAATCTTAATTACTATCCTAAATGTCCAAATCCTGAACTTACTGTCGGAGTAGGTCGTCACTCTGATGTCTCGACTCTCACAATTCTCCTTCAGGATGAGATCGGAGGACTCTTCGTAAGGAAAAATGAGGGAGATAATTGGATTCATGTTCCTCCAATTAAAGGTTCCCTTGTGATCAATGTTGGAGATGCCTTACAAATAATGAGCAATGGAAGGTATAGGAGTGTTGAACACCGTGTGGTCGCTAACAGAAGTAATAACAGAATTTCGGTGCCCAATTTTGTGAATCCAAGACCCGCTGATAAGATAGGACCGTTACCTGAATTGGTTGCAAGTGGTGAGAAACCAATTTACAAACAAGTTCTTTATTCAGATTACGTCAAGTATTTCTTTCGTAAAGCACATGACGGTAAGAAAACAGTCGGATTTGCTGAACTGTAGATGTAATGTTTTTTTCTTTCTTTGTTTAAAATAATAAAACTATTGTTTGTAATAAAAAAAATGACTAAGATAAATAATATGTATCCAAAGCTATCATCTACATATATATGTATCTTATGTAAAATCAAAATGATATATTTTATTTGATTTGGTACAATTACATTTTTAGTTTAAAGCTTTTCTTAATTTTCTTCTCTTTTGTAATTTTCATTGCTAAGGGCTTGAAAATTGTTATTTTTAGCCTTAAGCAAACCACTGTGATTACATGTGTTTTGACAGCCCTCGATGAGATTCTTAGTGTGGTACATGATGATTAAATAGGTACAAGATTTTACCAACATCTTGTTGGTCTAGTTGGATGAGGTACTAGATCCCTTAAGTAAGGATAATAAATTTGAATCCTGGAGTTTGTGGATGGAACAAACTAGATTTAAGGATCGCCCCTTCTCTGCAATACCCAATCTTGAAAAATACACAAGATTTTATATTAGATGTGTGGATTTTTAGGAGGTTATATTAGAAATTTAAATATGTAAATTTATAAAATTTTAAAAATATAAAAAAATAAATTATTAATAGAAAATATAAATAAAATATTTAATCATATAAGAATTTAAAGTTTTAAAGAGTACGAACGTCTATAGCATTCAATCAACCCATATATTCCTATTCTCTGCCATCAAAACTGGTAACTATTGTAGTCAATTATGTTTATTTCTTTTCTTACCAAAAGAATACATTCAAAGATATCTAAAGTTGTCAAATTACGAGGCCTATTAAGATGATTAAATTGTGTCGTTCTTCTGGTGTTGTCTTAATGTTTACTTCTCGTTTTTTTCCTGAGTTTGGTCCAAATTTTGCAGCACTGGCATCATTTCATTTGAGAGCTATTAAACATTTTATTAGTGTATAACTAAGAAAAACAACCTAATTACATGGCCGCCAAACACATTAGCATGGATCGGGCTGATTTTTGTTGATGAGTGTGACATTTTTTTATTAATGTCGAATGACTATAAGTGATATACTATAAGTGATATCTTAGATACTCGAATTTGAGATCTCTAAAGATAACGAACATATCTTTAATAACTAAGATGTTTATTTTTTCATTTTTAAAACGTATTAGATTGGAGATGAATAAAGTTGTTTTGAATTCATATAAGACGAAAGTAAATTAAGAGACGTTGAAATTTGATTTTACGATATTTTTTTATATTTAAGTTAGTCTAGGATACTTTATACATAGTTAAAAAATAAATTATGATAAAATAAATCGTTATTATCGATGAAAATATAAACTTTATATAAATAAAAGAAATTATTATTATGTTGTCTAAACCCCGTTATTTTAAAACTAAATTTGTTCTGTGTAATCACGATATGAATGTTATCCCAAAAATTAACATAATACTTCAACATTCATAAACTCGAATAAAAAATAAAACACAATTAGCATTGCGATTCTCAAAAGAAGAAATAAACCAATATAATTTTTTAAAAATATTTTAATATATAAAATATACATAAACATAACATAAAATACAACAGGAGAATCATTTAATTATAAAATATATAACAATTTACAAAAAGAAAACTTATAATAAAAAATAAATTAAAAATAAACTGATATAATATATATGAATATATAATCTTGTGAGGAAGGTACATGCACATATATGTGGCATTTCCATTAGGCTTTCTGCTAAACAAGGTTGGCAGTAACTGCGTGCAGCATGCGGATACTTGAGTCGGTGAGCCCGCTTTCCTCCAATATAAACCTAATGTTTTATCTTCTTTCCTCCAATATAATAATGTTGTTAATGGATCAATAAATAAAAATGGCTAATATAAATACTATGCATTCACGAATTAGTTATTGTCTATGAAAAAGTTTATCTTGCGTAAGATAGAAAGAGTTATTGACCAACAATTTAAATGAAATGCAACAATTGAATTATATAAATAAGTCATATAAAAAATTAAATAAACCAAACTTTAATATATTACTTTAAACGGTGGAGTTCTTACAACCTCAGCCAACCGTCTTGGACGTACTGTTAGAGGTGATTATTGCAACTATTTTGATGCCCGAATTAGGTTTTGTGGCAGTAACGCGTGCAGCGTGCGGTGCTGCATAGTTGGGTTGGGTTGGTGAGAATTCAAAATAAGACCAAAGTCTTTGCCCCTTTCTTTTACCACCTTCTCCAAATTTCTCTATATAAATAGTCACTACATTGTGTAACCACCAGTTGTCGCAACCGTCTTTCGGTTGGGTTCCGGAATTGGGCTTCGACTTACGAAAATGGATTAGGAGTCGCCACCGATCATTTATTTAAAAATAAATAGGTTGACCGGATACCTTATTTCTTACATGATCTGCGTCTTACCAAAGATGTGTCGGATTCGGGAGTCGGTTACAGTCAAGGAAGGGTTAGCACCCTTAAACTGCCCTTTCGATACTATGTAATTTCCAGTAGTCTTAAATTAAGAAAATTGTAATTTTAAATTAAAAGGTAAAATAACGATCCCAACTACTTACCCCGATCGATTTGAAAGTATACCCTTAAAGAGTCATGAAAAGCATTAAAAAAAGTGATGAAAGTAAATTAAAAATAAAGAAAGTGCAATAAAGAACAAAATAGACAAAAATAAACAATAAACATAATTAACATGAAGGTAGAGAACATGAAAGAAATAAAAATAAGGACAAGTATAAAAACATAAGAAAAAATAGAGAAAAAAGGTAAATAAAAATAAAATAAAATATATAATAACATATAAGCAATACATTAGAAAAATAATAATAATAAAAATTACATAAAATACATATATATATAATATATAAATGTAAAATATTAGAGAAAATATAATAAGAATAAAAAATAAATAAATAAATAAATGATAAATAAGAATAATGATAATAATAAAAAATAAATTAAAGAAAATACTAAAAATAGTAAAAACAGTAAGGGAAACAAATAAATATACATATATATTAATAATATAAGGATGAAATTGAAACGATAGTTAAATTTGAGGGTCAATTTCGAATGAAAATCTAGGGGGAAATCGAATTAGGGTTCAAAAAATAGGAGTTTAAAACCCGAGGGACTAAAAGAGAAGTTTACCCCTTTTTCAACAGAAACACGCGGGTCATAATGTAAAACACAGTAGGAATTGAGGGGACTGAATGTGATAAACCAATACCTTAAGCGACCAAAGTAAAAGATGACTAAAACTATAGGACCCTAAGTGAGATTAACCCAAAAATCCAAATAAAAAGCACTCCTCCTTCCTTTTTAACTCTAGAACACGTGAACCAAAACAATATCACCTTCCCTTTTTCATTTATATCCTCTGATATGTTCTTCAAATTGAAGAACAACCCAGAAACCGGCCACCGTGTGCCGCCTCGCCGGCCACTGTGAACGACGCCGGTCGTCGTTCACCGGCGGTAAATCTGAAGAAAAAAAATGATTTTTTCGAAAGCCCATAACACCCTTGTCACGAAAAACGCCTTAGTTTTTTTAAAATAAGCCTCGTAGGGGCGTAGATCTAAAAAGAAATTTTCAAATGCCCCCTATTCGGTCATCGGCTTTCGCGCTTTACATCCAAGAGACGACATGCATAAGAAATAATAAAAGGTGAGCCGTTTACCTTATATTTTCTTAATAATCGCAAAAAAATGCTTTGAATCACTGCTCGTACTTGCTCGGAAATTCTGCTTTCATTTCATCTAAAAAGAAATTTTCAAATGCCCCCTATTCCGGTCATCGGCTTTCGGCGCTTTACATCCAAGAGACGACATGCATAACGAAATAATAAAAGGTGAGCCGTTTTACCTTATATTTCTTCTTTAATAATCGCAAAAAAATGCTTTGAATCACTGCTCGTACTTGCTCGAAATTTCTGCTTTCATTTCATATCCACTGTTGTTCTGTTACAAATGGATGATTACATGCTTTTATAAGAATTCGAATACCCTATTTTTAGGTGTTTAAATCCTAACAAAACACTAATACTCGTGCTTGTTTTCTTGTTGGTCTATTCCGAGGAAACCATCGTGGAGTTCAGGCTACTGGAAGGCCGGAACGTGCGGCTGTGGAAGTCTCGGCCATGAGTCCTTGCGGCGTTGGGTTGATGCTAAGGTTTCCAGAAACCCTTGAGTGCTCGGGCTGGCAGCTGATGGGTCGCTTGTTTGGACCTCGTTTGGACCACTGTTGGGCTGAAATATGTTTATTATAATATGCATAAATGGATGAAATATAGGCGTCTACAACTGCCCCTCTTTGCTTATTATCGTGTAACGAAAATGGAGCAAAGATTAATAGACACAAATTTCATCCATATCGAATGTCCTCTGTTGTAGAGTTGGAATCCGATATTTGATTGGTTTGTCAATTTGAACTGAAATATGGGATGACTCTCTTGTTGTGAGATCGAGTTGAATTGGAAGCTCATGAGCATGATATCCTTCGTCGTGAAGTTGAAATCGAACTCTGAGATTGAGAAGTTGTTGTTGACAACCAGGGGTCCCTTCGTTGTGAAGTTGAACTTGCGGTGTCTGGAGTCCAATATCCTTTGAAATTGGTTCTGAAATTGGGAAAATGTTCGTTGACAAACAGCGGTCCCTTCATCGTGAAGTTGAACTTGCTTTGTCTGGAGTCCAATATCCTTCGCTGTGAAGTTGAAATTGGCTCTGAAATTGGGAAGTTGTGAAGTTGAACTTGCGTTGTCTGGAGTCCAATATCCTTCGTTGTGAAGTTGAAATTGGGAAGTTTTTGTTGACAACCAGTGGTCCCTTCGTTGTGAAGTTGAACTTACGTTGTCTGGAGTCCAATATCCTTCGATGTGAAGTTGAAATTGGCTCTGAAATTGGGAAGTTGTTGTTGACAACCAGCGGTCCCTTCATCGTGAAGTTGAACTTACGTTGTCTAGAGTCCAATATCTTTCGCTGTGAAGTTGAAATTGGCTCTGAAATTGGGAAGTTG